TGCATGGATGCTAACAAGCAGCCAGTGCCAGCTCACAACACACAGCCCTGGCATCCCCGTATGGCTGCTCTAGCCACCGCGACTCAGCCTGGCCATCAGCCACCAATAGCACTTGGAGAGTCTCTCGCAGGGACAGCGGTCTGCAAGCCTGCCTGCAGACAAGGTAAGGATGACAAAAGCATGGACCAAAACGGTGCCCTCGTGTGATACACTTTTAGATAGAGGGCAAATTTGGATAAGAGTAGAGGGTAGAATTAATCACGTTTGGTCTTTGCAGTCAAATAGCCATAGGTTTATAGCCAGTTCCATCACTTATTATCCACAAGAGCCTCCTTGTCTGTAAAACAGATGCGATCACACCCACCCCTGGGGAGGCATTCTGAGAACCAAATGTAATAAGGTGCAGAAGGTCTGGCATGGGGCTCTAGCTTCCAGCAGGGGCTCAGTCAGCATTACTTTCTTTTTCTAGTCTCCATGCTGTGTTCCTGTGCTTGCTGTTCCTTCCTCTTGAAAAGCCATCATCATATTCCTTACTATCAAACTCCTACCCATCCTTCAAAACCCAATTCAATCCCTCTTCCTCTATGAAGACTTTCTGGTCCATCCAGCTGGACAAACCCACTACTTCCCACTCAGCACTTCCACAACACATTACACAGGGCCATTTGGCCCTGCCAAGGGAGGAGGATCAGGGAAGTCTTCATGAAAGAAGAGGCATTCAAGCAGAGCCCCAAAGAAGGAGCAGGCAAAAAGGAATGAGCAGAGCATTCCAGACAGTGTGAACACGTATGCCAAGGTCAAGAAGCCTGAGACAGCTTGGTGGATCAGAGGAATTCAAGTCCTATACCAAGGGCCTTCCCTGACCACCCTAGCTAAAAGAGCAACTCTATTCTTCATTCTCACCCTTCATGGATTTTCTTCACTACCAGCCAATTACATTATGTGTTTACTTGTTCATTGCTGTGTCCCCAACTGGAATTTTAAGCCCACTAGAGCAGGTACCTTCTCTTCTTCACTGACTGCTGTATCCTCCTCACAGTTCAATATTACTGCTAGTTTAACAACTGTTAGATCCTGAGTTCCAAGACAGAAATTTGGCCATCTAGTTCACTGTTAAATCCTCCGCACAGGGCCAAGTACACAGTAGGAACTTATTTCTGATCAAATAAATACTGCCCAGAAGAGATGTTCAATTCCAATGCAGGAGTGCATGAGTGAATGCAGGTATGCATGGATATATACACACAACACATGAACTGATTAATTCATGCACGAACCCAGAGCTCTCACATTCATATTATCAAAGCCCAGAAGCCGACTCTGAGCTGCCCTACTTGGCCTTGTTAAGCTTCAGAGGTTTCTATCTCATTTTGGCCCTGGCCATTCAAAGCTTCTTTTCTTATCCTCAGCAGCCGCCTTTCCATTGTCATAAGGGGCAGCAGGCCATTTCCCCTATGCCCCTGTACTCTGAGCCCTGGGAGCTCACCAGATTCCCAGCACTCTTAGAGGAGGTCGGCTGACCCTGGTGCCTGGTCCTCTTCTCATTGTAAGACATTTTTACAGGAGCCTTCTATGGGAATTGTCGGCATTCCATTCTCCCAGAGAGTGGGCTGTGAATCTGGCCCGTTTTTTATTAATTGCAAATTAATGCTGTGCTGGGTGTCTATTTTAGTAGACATGCTTCCAGAGTATGGAATGCAATCCAAAGCAGCACATTGCTCTCATTCTTTCTGCTGACCGACTGTGTGAATATTTTTAGAAGTCACACCCTCTTGCAGTGGCCAGATAAATAATTTCCAATGCCAGATGTGCTCTTTGCAGATCAACATCAGGCAGGGAAGGGGAGAGGAATGAGCTACATGGCTTCCCCACCATTGCAGTGACATGTGACAAGTTTAAACCAGTAGCGTTTATACAGGCTTCCCAGGCCAAAGTCCTCCACCCTTGAAACATGGACAACTGATCCACATTTAGAGAGGCACCAGAGGGGGCTCCAAGAGAGGAACTTGCTGCTCATGTCCCGTTGGTTGGGGGCTCATCTGTTTCCAGGTCCAGACACGGATGACAGGGACTCTCTTGAGCACAGAGGCCAGCTTGTGGCCATGTCTGCCTGCCTTTGTCAGCAAGTGCCCTTTCTAAATACGTCTTCGCAAAATGCTGAGTCAGGAAGGGTTGCGAATAGACAGCCAGAAGACAAATCAACACCAGCTGAATCACATTTTTTAAAGCCTTGGAAGTGGGTGGGAGATGATGAAAAATAATGTGCCTGGAAGTCAAACACATGAGTTCTAACCCTGGCTCGTCATTCCTTTATTCCAAAGTCAAACCGTTTTGAAGTACCTACTGTGTGCCAAGCACCAGTCTACACTCTGAGGAAGCAAAGACAATAATTTAGTGTAGAGTGATCCACTGTGTGATTGTAGACATTATCATCTAGACTTTCTGAGTCATAATCACTAAAACAAAGGGGTTGGAAAATAACCCCCAACGTTTTTTGAAGATCTAGGATTCTCAGATCTGAGTAGGACTCCTTGAACAAGGAGGAAAGGAATTTAAAAGTGTTGATCATGGAACTATCTGGTTTCTCTTTGGTATATGTGTGTGTATGCACACCCTTGCTTTACCTTGGGAAAGGCCAGGATTAGAAATTCCTAAGGAAAAGTATGTACGTAAGCCTGAATTGCTAATACTGTTTGGTGTGTGTGCTCTTTCTCTCCATCAAGCACAGGGACCCTAGGTTGAAGAACTTGGTGCAGGGGAACTGTCAGCCCCAATATGATTGCTCTTTTGCTTACACAAATGAAGCCATTCTTCTAGGCTCCTGACTCACTGCTTCCCTGTACAACTGCTTTCAAATTCTAATCATTTTTCTCCTCCATTAGGGAATTCTATGATTTCATAGAAAGCTATGTGTCTTATCACTTCTGGGAATACATCATGAGACCAAGAGGTCATCACTGCACCATGGAACCCAATCCCTAGGCAAGAGGCTCACATTCCAGGCCTTGTAACAACGACATTTCATTTTGAGAGCTCTGGGGGCAGGTGACAGGAAGAATCTGGAGAGGAAGTCAATAAGGTTGATACAAACCCTTAGAAAACTGTGGCCCTCAAACCAGGACCAATTTTTCAGCTATGGCCTGACCACCACTCCCCAGGACCTAGGCACCTTCAGAGCAGTTGACTTCCAGTTCAACGCCCTCTCCAGGGGCCAGCTATGTAAGCAGTCTCTCCCAGTATAGTAATAGTTAAGTATGAATTAGTTTGACTGTAGCATTGTCTAAAATCTTCACGTTTGTTATTGACTCCCCAGGACTAGGCACAGGGCATTGCACACAGTAACTGTTCAGAAAATACTCATTGAAAACAGTGAACAAATAAACAATAATCTCCAGAGACAGGAACTGGCATCCCTACTTGACAGATGAGGAAACTAAAGCCTAAATCATCAAGAAACTTACCCAAATACTCCCATTACTAAGGGGCAGTGTTGCAATATCTAACTCCAAAGCCACCACTTTTAACTTTGACTCATTTGCACACAAGTCCTTAGCAGTTTACAAAACTAAACACAGAGTACTCTAAGTCTCATTCAGTACTCTAAGCAGGCCTGTGGGTAGTGCTGCTACCCCATTTTACAGTTGAGGAAACAGGGTTAAGTGGTTTTCCCAGTGTCAAGAAGCGAGTAAGCCACACAACCCAGAATTTCCTAACTCTATGACCAGTGCTCCTCCTAGAATAATCCAACCACTTTGCCAGAAATAGACCCTGAGATTCCACTTCCTATTCCTATGCAGAACTGCTTTGACCAACTATTTCCTCCTTATTCTATTAACTACATATAACTACAGTCAACCAGAGCAAGAGGTCACTGGGTCATGGCTTCCAAGGATGATGGTGACTAATGGTTCCCGCCATAATCTGTACCCAGAATCCCAACACCAGAGCAACTCCATCCTTCCAAGCAAGGAAATAAGTCTCATCACACGCTCCTCCACTGATAGCAGCAACAAAAAAAGTCATTCCCATGCTTTGTCCAGGGACCAGGGATAAGCCACTAACGTCACCAGTGGCCAATTGGAGGGCTCCTGCTGGTGCTGGGAGTACTAAGGCCATTTCATAATGAAACCCATGCGGCGAGCTCTGTTTATTTTGAAACAGTATTTGCTTATTTTGTAGACGTAGTCAAAAGGACATTCATAGGGCTCCCTGGGAGGCACTTAAACCCTGTAGGCCAGGAGAGCTTTCTCCAGCTCCAGCAGCAGCCAGCAATAATACTCTCCGTGTGAGTAAACTCCAGCACTTGCTATTTCCCAACAGCAAGCGCCATCCCCATTTTGGTCAGCTTCCCAGGGCCATGGCTGGTTTCAGGGGTGGGAAGGTGGAGAGGGAGAAGTAAGAGACAGGGTGGACAGTGACAAAGAAGTGGCCAGGAAAAGTGTTCCAACTCTAAAATAATTCGGGGTCCTGTTAGCAAATCGAGCAAAGTGACTTGAATTTGGGCTTGTGAATCAGACAGACATGGGTTCAAATCCCAACTCCACTCCTTACCCTTGGATTACCTCAGGCAAATTACTGAGTTTTTCTGTGCCTCAGTTTCCCTATGTGTGAAATGATGTAAATAACAGTGCCTCCCTTGTAGCGTTCTTGTAAAGATTGAATTTAAGTGATATCAGGCAAAAATATGAAACACATATGAAATTGCTATGGTGATGATTTTTAGACTATGAGCTTCCTGAGGATAGGCACTGTATCCTAGTCATCTCAATTCACCCAGGGAGGAAGAACAACGTTCAGTGTATCGCAGGAGATCAATAACTGCTTGTTGAATTTAATTGTTCGGACTGGACTTAGAGCTCAAGCAAAGAGACTCTTCCCCACAGCCTGCCAGGGTAGGAAGTGGCTGCCTTATTTCCAGGCTGAGGCTTGGAGCGGGTTAAGCCTCCACAAGGCTGCAAGGCCCAGGTTCTGCATATCAATCAACGAGGCAAGAGCTTTACCTTAATATTGCAGTTGTCATCAAGCAGTATATTTTCCAGCTTCAAGTCCCGGTGGACCACACCGTTCTGAAACGAGAAGACAAAGAGGGAATTGAATGGGAGCGGCTGGGATGAGAACAAGAGAGAAAAAGGAGGAGGGTGCGCAAAGGGAAATGTCTGACAGATTAAAGAAATGCGCCAGCCCGGTGGTCTTCGCCTCCATCCTTCAGGCTGCTCTCCCTGTCTTGAGGTTCCCCCATCAGCGACCGACCAGCGACAGGAGAGCATTAGTCACTTGCTGTGTGGTTAAGGGAAAAATGACTGGAATCTGTTCTCCCCCAGAGCCTGTAAAACAGCAGGGGGATTCTTTGTCGGAATGTAATTCCACTGTGTGAAAGCAATATAATCCCAGGCAGTGGCAAACAATGTCTGTCTGGGATGGGATTCCCAGGGAAGAAGCAGATTTCTCTGACGGGGACTCAGAGTGTGGGGCTCACGGGGCTTCCCTGTCTGTCTGTATGCCTGCCTGCCTACCCAATGCTGGAAAGACAAATGGGCCAATCTATTTCAACCCATCCTGATCTGTCCTGAGGATAACACTTCCTAAGCAGCCTGGAGAGAAGACTCTGCTTTCTACTCAGCGGGATTTAGTGCTGGGTGAAAGGTGGATTCTGCTCCCTTTCTGCTCAGCTGGATTCAGTGCTGGGTGAAAGATGGAGCGTGAGAGCAGACCAGTGAGACCGAGACCAAAGCAGGTGGCTGCCATCCTGCCTGACCTTTCCATTCAGGCAAACTATGGCAAGGCTGGAGGCTGAACTTCAATGACCAGCAGCCAGCCAGCTGAAATACGAAAAGTAGTCATCAACCAATAGGCTGTCAGTCTACATAGCAGTGACCTCTACCTTCTCAATTCTTTTTTAAGACCTGATTATCTTTTTAGGGGATGGATGGGCATGGAAAGGGCAGTGGGCCTGAAAGAACTGGCTATTTCAGGCTGAGTGCACAAGTAGCGGGGACCTTGAATGATTCTGAACAGCATTCAGCATAAAGGACATCTACAATCGAAGCTGCTCTTTTGAGCAAACCAATAGGCATGTTTACAGCTGGCTCCTTCTTATTTTTCTTTTCATTTGACCATTCTTAATATCTCCAAAAGCACTGCCCAGAGAGAGAGATGAAAACATGTATTTCTACTACTCTTTTTCTAATTAAAGCCTGCAAGGAGACCTTCTGAATGCAGAAATGAACAAAACCAAATCTCCTGGAAGAAAGATGTGGACTACAAGGTACCTGATTCTGTTTAGTTTTAAGTATCAGGAGCAGTTTGGTTTACATTGCTGCATTCCTGGTTTTCATAATAAGATGGAATAAGTCTAATAAAGCCTCATTCATACAGAATCCAAGTATTCACACACTTCAGATAATGAAAACACCATCTCTATGGTGATTTACAATGATACCTGATGATGAAATACAAAATATTATACAATTCAAATCATGAGCACCTTTTGAGTCAACAGAGAGAGGTCAAATAATGTTCACATGGGTTAAGGGCTCTAGATCTGAGTAGCTGTCTTCTAATTACTTGCAGAGCCACTGTCAATGAAACACAATATTTAACAAACCAGGAGGCCCCATGTTATGATCACTTGTATGAAGAAGTTGACTCTGTTTCGGATACCCTATTGGACTCAAGTCATATTATCCTCAAAGTAAATGACTGTTCAGGGTGTGACAGATCTGGAGAAAGTCTGAATGAGATGAAAATCATGGCCAAAATGATTAATAAGAATAATGGTTGAAACATGGCTTATAATTATCTGCGTACTTCATTCCTTTTCCAGAAACCAAGAGTGGCTCTACTGTGGCTTTATTATTATTATGATTATTATTATTTTGGAGATGGGGGTCTCACTTTGTCACCCAGGCTGGAGAGCCGTGGCAGCACTATAGCTCACTACAGCCCTAAACTGCTGTGCTCAAGGAAACCTCCTGCCTCAGCCTCCAAAACAGCTGGGACAACAGGTGTGCAGCCTCATGCCTGGATACTTTAATTTTTTTTTTTTTTTTTTTTTTTGAGACAGAGTCTTGCTCTGTCACCCAGGCTGGAGTGGAATGGCGTGATCTCAGCTCACTGCAGTCTCTGCCTCCTGGGTTCAAGCGATTCTCCTGCCTCAGCCTCCCGAGTAGCTGGAATTACAGGCGCCCACCACTGCACCCAGCTAATTTTTATATTTTTAGTAGAAATGGGGTTTCGCCATGTTGGCAGGCTGGTTTCTAACTCCTGACCTCAGGTGATCTGCCCACCTCAGCCTCCCAAAGTGCTGGGATTACAGGCATGAGCAACTGAGCCCAGCCTAAAAATTTTTTTAAAGATGGATCTTACTGTGTTGCCCTGGCTGGTCTTGAATTCCTGGGCTCAAGCAATCCTCCCACCTCAGCCTCCCAACTAGCTTGGATTATAGGCATGAGCCTGGCTGTGGCTATCTTCAGAGCACATCCTGTTGAGGTGCACTGCAATCAGATATATGTGTATGTAGGTAACCTATGCAAGAAAAGGTACCCAGGGTGTGGAGAGGTTTCAAGAACATTTCTCCCAGTAATTCCACTTCTGGAATCTCTCTTAAGTAAATTATTCACAGGAGAGGAAAATATTCATATATAAAGATACTGATCACTATTTGTAATAACCAGAAATTAGAAACAGCCTCAATGTCCAACAATGAAGAATTACAGAGAATTGTTAATAATACAGAAAAATATTTAGATTAACATATTAAGTAAAAAAGCACGACACAAATGATGTAAAAATGAATCCAGTGTGGTACCATAGATTGGATGCTGGAACAGAAAAAGCTCATTGGTGTCTCCATTTTGACAAACGTACCACAGAAATGTAAGATGTTAATATTAGGGTAAACTGAGTGAGACATAGATAGGCACTCTCTGTACTACCTTTCAAACTTCCCTGTAAATCTAAAATTATTCAAAATTAAAAGTTGACACAAAAAATAAATGTGAGAAGGGGGAGGAAGAAGACTGAAAGGAAACAAGCAAGCAAAAATGTCAAAAATGGGTTAGCCCTGGATTCCAGAATTGTGGGTGATGGTGATTTTCTTCTCTAGTTCATAAATTCTCTGTACATGCTACCATGAACAGATACCACTTTTATAATAGGAAAAACATCATGCAGTGCCATGAAAACTACGCCTAAAGCTGTGGGCCAGGCACAATCGTACCTTATGACAATAGTGCACGGCGGAGACGATCTGCCGGAAGAAGTGCCGGGTCTCCCTCTCACTGAGGCGCCGCCGCTCGCTGATGTAATCATACAGCTCCCCTTTGCTTGCATATTCCATGATGATCACAATCTTATCTTTGTTCTCAAACACTGCAGAGGGAAAACAGCAATACACAAACACCCTGTTTAGCCAACAAGCTCACTTATGCTACAGAGAATGAGAGAGAGGACAACGGAGACGTCGCCAAGCAGAGGACCCACTGACCGGCCAGAACACAAAAGAGCCAATTCAGCATCACAAGGCACTGGGCACGCTGTCCCACCAGGTGGGCAATGGTGTGTGTCACGCCATTGTTCCTGGACATGCCTTTGTCATGCTAAGGGAGATATGGTTCTCTTCTCTGAGAACCCTAGTTTCCTTGTCAAGATCATCTCTCACAACCCTCTCCCAGAACAGCTCTCCTGTAGACAGGATAATGGGCAACAACAAACATGACTAATAATTTATTAACCATTGGATACAGACCAGGTACCCAGCCCTGACAGAGCCACTCTGACCCCAAAATGGGTGCTCAATCTTGTCATCTCTTTACATCTTCCCATTGCAGGCAAACGAAACCCACAGCTGGTAATGTGGTCCACCGAGTCATGCATGATTACATGGGCCCTTCTCAGCCCTACTGCACCTCCATTCCATGTATTTATTCTGCCTCCCCCGATTGAATGTAGAAGGAGGTTGTCCTATTTCACTCAATGGTGTATCCTCAACACCCAGGACAGTATTTGGCACATAGTAACATAGCAGGAGCTCAGGTAATATTTATTAAATGAGTAAACTCAAACTACACAAAGGCAATTTTGAACATCAATACTAAATATTAATATAGCACTTACTATGCACCAAGCTTGTGTGTAAGGTTTTAAGTACCTCACATGTACGGACTCATTTAAACCTTAACAACAAATGATCAGGGAAATATCTGTAATTTTACCATTTGAAACATGAAGACACTGAGGCTGAGGGAGGCTAAGAAACTGGCGCAGTCTGCAATTAGGCAGTTTGGCTTCAAAGATCAAGTGCGGAACCACTAGACCAGACGGCCTCCCAAAAAGCTGCTGGAATCCGCAGGGCTCTGGCTCCCAGCGTGCATGGGGAACTGTATGCCACAGCCTGCTGTTTGTCAGGGCTGCTACTGCTGCTATCATCTCCAGCGGGTTCCCTGCCACCAGGTCCAGCCCCTTCTCACTCAACCTCCACATCTTCTCACTCAACCTCCACATCACCAAAGAAACAGTCTTCTCAAATGCTTGTAAATGCTTCTCTCTCCCCAACTCTAATGCTCTCCAGCAGTGATGTTCAAACTCAGGGTTCCAGGCAGATGGCCAGGGGCCCATGCATGAGGCAGGGAGAGGGATGGCCATGAATGACGGGCTGCCCGAGGCCACTCCATTGCCACCCATTTCATACTCTGGGCTTTTACATAAGATGTCCTTTGAGCAAAGACAAAATAAGCAATATTTATTTTGAAATCCATCATCGCTCCTAAGGGATATGGTACAAAAAGCTTTGTAGGGTACCCAATACCCTTCATGAGGGTCCCCTACCTACCCTCCTCGATCTCATCTACTTTTCTCCCATTTCCATCAGGCCCCCTACGCCCAGCACTCTCATTCACTAGCCAAGACTGTGCTCAGACGTGGTTTCCACAACACACCGCTTCTCCCTCTTACTGCGCTAGTCAATACTTGCCTCATAGCACGTACACACTGTGTAGGTTTATTTCCTGGTTTACAGATCCATGTCCTCTGCCTAGACTGACAGAGCTAAAAAAAAAAAAAAAAAAAAAAAACTGTGGTTTTGGAATCAGATACTCCTAAGTAGGATCCCTGGATATGCCTCTTAAGGGCTGTGTGATTCTAGGGATGTTCCTTGCACTCTCTGGGCCTCAGTTCAGTCAACTATAAAACATGAATAATATTAACAAGTACTTAGAACTGCTGGGGCCTGGCACAGTGGCTAACGCCTGTAATCCCAGCACTTTGGGAGATCAAGGAGGGTGGATCATGAGGTCAAGAGATCGAGACCATCCTGGCCAAGATGGTGAAAGCCTGTCTCTACTAAAAATACAAAGATTAGCTGGGCATGGTGGTGGGCATCTGTAGTCCCAGCTACTTGGGCTGCTGAGAAGGAGAATCACTTGAACCCGGGAGGCAGAGGTTGCAGCAAGCCGAGATCACACCACTGCACTCCAGCTTGGAGACACAGCAAGACACCGTTTCAAAAAAAAAGAACGTTAGCCATTATTGTTGCTATCAATACTATTTCATCCCTGAGCCTAGCACCAAGGCAGACACATATCCAGTGAAGAACTGAGTTGACCTGGAACCTACCCCAGGCCTGGGTCCCCAGTCCTCCCACACCTTGTCACTGGCTGCTAGAAGCTCAAACCCCCCAATTCCTTTTTGGCTCCTTTCAGTCCAGCCAAACCTCCCTGATAAAATGAAATGAAAAGGAGGAGGGTAGGGAGGAGGAGGAGGAGGAGGAGAGAACATCCAGATAAAATTGGCTGCTCCAGCGTCTGCTGGCCTCGGTGTACCCTGCAGCTTTGTCTCCTGCCAGAGATTTCAGCCTGTTGTGCACTTTTCATTAACAATAAACTCTGGAAACTGGAAACATCCCGACTGCCTCGGGATGCATGGCTCAGGCCCCAAAAATGAAAGAGTGAATCGGCCCTGGAGAGGGCAGCGGATTTTCTAATTTTAAAAAGGAGGATGTAGGAAGATGGAAAGTACTTTGACAGGTAAATAAACAAGAAGCCTCACACCCCAAAGAGTCTGGTGCATCATTAAAGAGGCCAAAGCCTCTGGCCCTTCAGTGACTATTGGAAGGTGTGGGCCACTTGCCTCACACAGACAGAAGGGCTGTTTCAGTGGCTGGATTCTTCCCTCTCCAACTGGCTGACTTGGTATCAAGGAGACATATCCACAATTCAGTTCAATTACAGTCCAATACACCAAATAGTTTACTAAAAAGCTTCCGTAAGTAAGTCCTACTGATCCTTTCTCTACAATATATCCCAAGTCTGGCCGGGCACAGTGGCTCATGGCTGAAATCCCAGCACTTTGAGAAGCTGAGGCAGGTGGATCATTTGAGGCCAGAAGTTACCAGACTGGCCAACCATGGTGAAACCCCACCTCTACCAAAAACACAAAAAATTAGCCAGGTGTGGTGGTGGGCACCTGTAATCTCAGTTACTGGGGAGGCTGAGGCAGGAAAATTAGCTTGAACTCAGGAGGCGGAGGTTGCAATGAGCCGAGATCACACCACTGCACTCCAGCCTGGGGCCACTGAGCGAGACTCCGTCTCAAAATAAATAAATAAATAAATAAATAAATAAATAAATAAATAAATAAATAAAATAAAGTAAAACATATCCCAGATCTATCCACCTGTCTCACTTCCAAGGACACCCCTTCACCCCTTACCCCCATCCTTACTGCTGGCCAGCCTCTCACATTTGCCTCCCTGCTGACTGCATTTGAAGGAGTCAAGAAATAGCTCCAAATGCATATTCCACAGAGTAATCGTTCTGCAGGATATCCTGAAGAAAGTCAAACACAAGTCAAACGTTGATACTTGATTGTCCTCTGAGAGCCTGGTTTCCTTAACTCGGAGTTCTGCGAGTTGATCGGGCCATTTCAATCCTCCTATTGGCATCCAGAAGAGCTCATATGGAGCCAGTGTGGAAAACACTGGATGAATGAGATGATATCCAAGGGATAAAACCGGCCCCTCACTCTCTCGGGCAGGGCCAATGGGCCACCCGATCAGAGAACTGTCCAAGCAGCCAGGCCTGGCTCTGGGACACCATCCCCTCATTCCCCATAGGGAGAAGCCCAAGTCTCATGGTCAAGGCCCTGTCACCTTCAATTAATTGATAGCAAACAAGATTTCTAGACTTCGAGCATCAGTGTTTCATCAAGGAGGCAAGGCATGTTACAGGTGAAGCTTCTTGAAGCCTTTCTTAATAACTGAAATTTGCTGTAGGCTTACTATGTGCAGGCACCATGCCAATAAGCATTCTGCATGAATTACATCATATGGATTTGGTACTATGAGGATCCTCGTTTTACAGATGAGAATATCTAGGGACAAGGTGAATATAATTCCCATAACTACAGAGAGCACAAGGCACAGCCAACACTGGGCCCAGAAGTCTGACTGCTTGCTGCCCCCGAGCTCTCAGCAACTCCATTACTGCTCATACATATGAACCCCTCTGACCCTCGGTCTCCTCATCAGTCCAATGAGACTAGTAATAGCCTCACAGGTCTATCGCCCTCAGCAGAGTGTGTCTGCCAGTGCTCAACAAATAGAAGCTGTTCTCATAATTGCTTCATCTGCCACTTAGGCAGCTCAGGCAAAACAAAACTCGAAGACTTTCCTCTCCCTGCTGGCATCACTCTTTAAAACATGTTGTGGTGCTGCAGAATCACAGGATTTTTGAGCAGGAAAGGACCTAAGAGATCGGGTGTTATTTTTCCAGAATAGTCCAGGATTTATAATGTATAACAGCAAAGCCTTAGGAATTAATACTGAAGAATGAGCAGCTTCCATACCCTCGGCCCAATGCTCCTTTGCCCGTGCTCAAGGTGACAGGAATACTCTTGGCCATTCTTCTAGCAAAAAAAGGGCTGCTTCCCTTGGGCACTTTTACAACTGGTTATTTATAAGCCCAGAAATCTTGTCTGTGTTTATGTTATTAGTCACTAAGCAAAAGCTTATTTTCCACCAGTTGGGAAGGGTTTCCTTTCTGAAAAATGAAAGCCTGTGTCTCTTGGCCAGACAGTTTTACCCAGAAGCCTGGTGGCTCCAGAATGGTAAGGAAAACCATGGCCCTTGACATGCCAGGCCTACCAGGAAAATTAAATCCCTGAATAGAAACTTAGCTCAGCCTGAGTCAGCCCACAGCACTGGAGCCACGGCCATGTGGTGCAGAGGCTGGATTTTAGCACAGCTGAAAGCACCTACTATGCAGATGGCATTGGGGGATACCAAAAGAAGACTTTTCCCTGTTTGGAGGGGGAGGAAAGGCAGGCCAGGTAGAAGGGTCAGCATGAGGAAGGGAACAGGCCAGAAACAGAACCAC